TGGTTGTCAAACGGATTCAAATTTCAATCAGGTGGATTTTAACAAGGGCCGTTGCAACGCAAGGCTGGGTATGCTAGTATATATATATATATTAATATTAATATTATAATGAAAATCCTCGATCTATGCTTACTATTGTGAGTGCATAGAAAGCCTTATATATTCGTTTTCCTAATCGATACTTCGTTGTTAGTTTTGTTCAATAAATTTATGACTTAAAAATTATAAAACACTTAAAAAGCTTCTATAAAATTTATTGTTTTTGATTCCGCAAACAATCTTCAATAAACTTTTATAGGCAATTATTTAAGTACCTATTTATGAAATACCGCACGAAACACGGAACTTTAGTTAGAATAAAAAATTAAAATTCGAATTATTTTCGATATCAAAAAAAAAAAATTTTTTAGAGATAAAAAAAAATGTTTTTTTTCCAAAATCAATCGTTTCGTCAACACAAGCAGATTGTTTTTTGAATCATCCAAATCGGATGCTTAGTTCTCTCAAAAATTGCCATTTTTCTATTAGTGGAGTAGGTATCTCCAAAACGGCTAGACCTGCCCAAAAACTAATCACCATTTTTCCTTGTCATTACGAGTTGAATGTTTTTTGGATCATCCAAATCGAATGCTCCGTTCTCTTAAAAACACGATTTCTATTTTCTGCACTCTTTGCTTCGTATCTACGAAACGGCTGGACCTGCCTTTGCCAAAAACTAATCAGCACATCTCTCGCAAGAATTGTTCAAAAACTTTCAAAACGTGAAGAAATGTGAAAATTTTCGGTTTCGATTTTTAGGCGATTACAATAACCTTACAGGAAGTTAATAAGAGCTGCACAAAACGCTTGAATCTTACTTTGATCGAGGACTGAATTCCAAGATTGATTTCAATCAATATTTACATCCGGGAATAATGAAAACACAAAATGCATCAATTGCAATTCCAACACAACGGATGCTCGGTGTCGGTTGTAGCAAATTCAATAAGAAATTGTACAAAAAAATTTAATGTCACTCATTAACTATAGGCAAAATATTGCTGCCAGCATCCTGATCCTGTTTTGACCAAGGACATTCAATCACCAGTAACAGATTTTCTACCCTTTCAAAATTAATCAACAAGTAAGCATTTCTTGTATACGAAATTAATATTGACTAAATGGTATTGATATTTTTCCTTGAGGCAAGTTATGTTACATGAACTTCCCGATATGTGTAAAGATCCCGATATGAGGTGTGCCAATTTACGATTTTGTGACTTTTTTAAGTTTTTTTTGGTTTAACTAGAAGATATATGTTTTATGAACACGTACAAACTAATTTTTTTGATTTCAAATCACCGTACGAAAAGTGAGAACGCCCGCAAATTGATGGCGTTTTCCGAGAGGGTCTTGGCAGATTTATTTTTACGGCAGCCATTTAAAAAAAAAATTAAAAAATTTTTTTTTGTGTATTTTAATATATAATAAATAACCCTAAAAAAGTTCAAAAAGATTCAGTAATTCCTTCCCAGTTTAAAAAGTCCTCAAAAAATGGTAAAAATTAAGGCGATTACATGTATCGCCCCCCTTAATCAATAACTAGTGGGGTGTATGGCATCGTGCCTTAAGGCAAATTGCTGGAACTTTCCGTACCGTAACGAAATGTTCGAGGAATATTGAATGTTTTCAAATAGATTATTATAAATATTATAACATTGTCTAATATTTATAAGAATTATATAAACTGAATTGCAAAGTTGAAATTATTCGTTTAAAGTATATTAGAACTTAGTCAGAATTACAAATAAAATCTGAAATATTTACGATATACAAAAAAAAAATTTTTCTTGAAAAAAAAAATTTTTTTTAAACAATTTTTTTTCCAAAACCAATTTTTTTGTTAAAACAAGCAGAAAGTTCTTAGAATCATTTAAATCAGACGCTCAGTTCTCTCAAAAATTGCAATTTTTTGCACATTTAGCTCTGTATCTTCGGAATGGCTGGGCCCGCTTTTGCCAAAAACTAATAACCACTTCTCCCAATCATTACTAATTGAATGGTTTTTAGATTGTTGTAATCGGATGCTCCGTTCTCCTAAAAACTCGATTTCTATTTTCTGCACTTTTTGCTCTTTATCTCCGTAACTGCTGGACCTGCCTCTGCCAAAAACTAATCACCACATCTCCCTATCAATAGGAATCGGATGTTTTTGAACCATTCAAATAGGTTGATCCGTGCGCCCGAAAACGTGAACGAAAAAATGCGGACACATAAAACACACACACACATCAATTTTTTCTGAGGTATGCCAAAATGGTCAGAAACTTTCAAAACGTCGAGAAATGCAAAAATTTTCAATTTCGATTTTTGGACGATTACAATTACCCTACGGGAAGTTAACAAACGTCAAAAAAAAAACACTCATTTTCTCAAACTTTGATGAATTTTTAAAATTAAACTACTTGTAAGACCGTAATATTTCAGTAAGTTATGTAAGACTATGATATATATCGCCAACAAAAGTTCTATAAAAATCGGCTTATTTTTTTTTCTACAGTTAATTACAAGAAAACGGCTCGGTAGATTTTCACCTACCAACATGCTACCAACTAATCAGTATCACTCTCCTTTTATCTATGTAGTATCATTTCCAAATAATCTTTCGAACAGTTTTTGATTTTTTAAAATCGATTCGGTAGTATGAGCTTAAATGTGGATGAAAAGTTTAACACTCTTTTCCAAATTGCAAAGAAAAGGTTTGGCAGATCGTCGCACAAAACTGACAAACGATAGTCCTCATTGAGATACATCAACAGGCTTCTAAATTTCTGAAATCGGTCCAGGCGTTTTTCAGAAAACATCGATCAAAGGTCTAATTTTGACAAATGCTGAAAAAATGATACTAATTTTTGCAAACTTTGAAGAATTTTTAAAATTAAACAACTTGTCGTAGGTGCGTAATATTTTAGTATGATCTATAAGACTAATAATAGAATTATTATTCATAATAGAATTTCAAGATTTTTATTTTTTGTCCGCAACTGATTGATGTCGGCACATTTTGATCTTTTGTTTCCATTAAATTGATCACGCTATAGTTTGAGAACCTTTGAAATTTGAATGATTAAAGTTTGCAACTGTTAGTAAGTCATTCGAACTATTGCCAGCGCTCTGTTATTAGCTCTGATATCTTTACAGTTAAATGATAAATTATTTCTAGTAATTAATTCTTAATAATAAGAATTCTTTGCTAATGAATATTTTATTAAAAATATTTTTATAATTCTGTTGGTGGAGTGATAACTTTTTTCAATTCAGGCGTTCAAAATGGCCGACCCTACGGATTTCACAAAATTGAGAGTGAGTGTAATTGAATTGATATAAATTCTTCGCATGTGATTTTCTGTGTGTTGTTTAACATTTTTGTCATAATTACTTATTTGAAATAGTGTAGTTCATAATTCTCGCTCTCGAACTAATGAGCTATAACGATTTATAAGGTTTATCCAAATTTATCTTTCTTGCAATGAGAAGATACTTTGATGGAATATTGTGGTGAGTTCTAATTTATGTGATTATTGTATGTATAATTTTCTTTATTTGCCCTAAAATGATTCCTTGAATATTATTTGGATATTCATAACCTATTCCCAATGTATAAGAATACAAAAGTCGAAGTGACAGTTCTGAGCATGAAGTCGTAAAACGCGATGTCGATATTTTGTGACAGTTATTTTCTATTGAAACTAGTCAAATGTTGCATTGTAGAATATTATATTGGGTTTTTGTCTCACAGAATTGACCTTGCTATTAAATTTTATCTAAGGAAGTAAATTTGCGAAATGACAACACTTTCAAAATTAAGAAAATTCACAAAGCAATTTTGAAGTGACTATTTTGTGTACTTCCTAAATCCAACGCAATCTCTTATTTGATATCTCAAAAATAATATGATACAAGATAATCAAGAGAACTGGAATTATAACTTTGTAAACTAAGACGTCATATTTGTATATTTATTATTTATATGTCATTGTCACGACTGTTTTTTGCTTTTGAGTTATGCCAGCTTATACTGGCCTCTGCGGTGAATTTTATATGACCATAAATCAGTTTATACACCATATATCAAACATGAAGTAGTCATTGATTGGAAGCAACAGAAAATTGAAATATTAAGAATAATGAGCATTTCCTATTTTGTTTCATTAAAAATACCTCCTAAATATTGCAGAATTTCAAAGAATATAAAACTTGCTAAAGCTTTGCAAAACGTCATTCTTGACATCATAAGTTTAAACAATAGAAAACAACATAGCTTGCCGCAGATACAAAACACAAGCGTCAACAAAATGAGATCTTGAACAAAACTTGTAGAGATTTGTGAAAAACATCAGAATATTAACCAAATTGCAAAAGTAATTGAAACAGTTTTAGTAACTCCGTTTCTTCAAACATTCCATTTGTGAGTTTAGGAAGCATTTGTGGTAATATTAAATGAAAACAATGTCAGTTTTCAGTTATTTGGAGTTACAAACTATTTGATTGAACTGTGGTTCTGATTAAGTGTTATCACACTTGGTTAAATTATTTGAACATTACGACAAACAGTTTATACTGCTTAGAATTTGTCAAAGTAATCGCATGTCCAAGAGAATATAAACAAATCATTTATATTTGCTTTATCATAACCAGAAGTAGAGATAGTTAATTTTGATTAATAAGCATTACAGTAAGCCATTGATGAAGATATTATTATACAGCTGAGTATTGCCATTTGAAAATTTTGCAATATATGTATATATGTCAGCCTAAATGTGTGTGCTTGTTTGTAAATATATGAATATATAAGTACGTATTTATATATGTAAAATTGGGCATAAATTATGTATTTATGCCTATATATGTATATACAAATAATTATTAAAATAAGAAATTAAAATCTTTTGTAGAGTTTATCATATTCTCACTTAAAATTGATGTGATTTGATAATAATATACTATTATTACAATTTTAGGCCAACTGATACATTGAATGGTGTTCAATCTAATTTACCTCCAACTTCCAGTGCAGACTTGAGTGTGATGCATAACTCTTCAATGATGCCTACAGCATCTCACAATATGGTGCAGCAGGCACCAGCACAAATTAGGGCTAACAATTATCAGCAAATGATGTACGGTCGGGATGTTGTACCAATGCCTGTTAATGTGAGTTCCAGTTTATATATATATATATATATATATATATATATATATATATATATATATATATATAATCAAAATTCGGTAGAACCTCGATTAAACGGACCTATTGTTGTTGATAGGCATTCGGATAATTGAAAATCCAGATAATCCAATGTATGAAGAATAATGTTGTGTATTTATTAAAAATAACAAATACATACATAAATACCAACAAAAATCAATGTTTACTAAAAAATTAATATTTTCTTATGTATGTACATACATATACTAAACTGCAGTGTAAATGGTGCAAAACTTCGAATTGTCGGTATGTACATACATATAACTTTGTCTCGATTGGTAGTCCGGATAATCGCAAATTCGTATAACTGAAGTCCGGATAAACGAGGTTCTACTGTACTACGAATCTCTATTATATATGCAGATGTGAGTTTAATTTGAATGCAATCAGTTTCCAACTAGATTAGATAGTATTAGCAATGACTATCAATAAGTACACATAACATGCTTTCGAATGGGCAAACTGACCATCCAGATGGTTTAAATTAGCTAAAAATGGTCTAAGAAAAATTAAAGTTTAAATAAAAACATAAATTACATACAAAATTACTTATAAATACTAAACATTTCAGAACTTTATTCTATATAGTTATTTTTACCCTATAGGCAAGAGCGGCTACTGCTGGAACTGTTTATCCCCCTGCAATGTACTACCAAAATATAAATCGAAGTTTTACGAATTCAATCCATGTTCCTGCAGATGTTAGATTCAAACGCTTGCCATTTTATGATATAAAAGCTGAATTATTAAAACCTTCAAGTTTAGTGCCGCAAACTCCACAAAGAATTCAGGAATGTACATTTTCCTTTACATTAACTGCTGAACAAGCTACTAAAATTGCATCAGGCAGAGATGCTAGTAATCCTAGCAAAGTAGATTACCCAACACAGGTTCAAATGAGGTTTTGTTTGTTGGATCCAAGTTGTGAACAAGATGATAACTTTCCTCCAAATGTCGTAGTGAAAATCAATAACAAACTGTGCCAGCTTCCTGTAAGTGTAAAATATTTATATATTAATTATATAAATATAATTATAAAAATATAGTTTTATATTTTTCTTCCTTCTTGTTGATATTTGATTCAGATATTTATTCTAGAGTCCTATTCCAACAAACAGACCTAATGTTGAAGCTAAAAGGCCATCTAGACCAGTTAATGTTTCAAATTTGGTGAAACTTAATCCCTATGTTGCAAATGTTGTAAATGTGTCTTGGGTACCTGATTATAATAAGCCTTATTCGATAACTATAAATCTAGTAAAGAGATTGACTTCAAGTGATTTACTACAAAGATTGCAAGAAAAAGGCCTGAAGCCACCGGAGTTTACTCGAGATCTGAGTTAGTATCTATTATTGAGAGTATTTCATTTGCTACTATCTAAATAACTTATTATAAATGATTAATTTGTTATTTTACTAATTGAACAAAACAATTCTGGAATATATTGCATGTAGTTCTAGAAAAAATGCTTTCAATTATTTTATTTGTGGAAAGAAAATTAATTGTAATTAAACTGATAAATAATTTATTGCTAATTTTTTTTGTTATAGTTAAACAAAAATTAAATGATGACAGTGATGATATAATGACTACAGTTTTGAATGCATCTTTAACTTGTCCTGTTGGAAAAATTCGTATGGTAACTCCGTGTCGTCCATCAACTTGTGATCATCTTCAGTGTTTCGATGCAAGTTTATTTTTGCAAATGAATGAGAAAAAAGCAACGTGGATTTGTCCAGTTTGCGACAGGCCTGCTTTATATGATAATTTAATGATAGATGGGTGAGATGTTTTGTAGTTCAATAATGAATTGACAGTATAAATATTATTATAAACTAATATATAAATATAAATTCATTAGCTATTTTCAAGAACTTATACAATCTCCAACATTTATATCGGCTAATGTTAATGAAGTTATATTATTGAAAGATGGATCATGGAGTATAGAAAAAAAAGAACCAGTAGTGCAAAAGAAAACTTCGAAAACTAGTGTAGAAATAATTTGTGATGATGTGGGTGAGTTTGTCAAATATCCTGTATTGATAATATGAAAATTAAATTTCAATTATTTAATTGTTATCTGATTTTTAATGTCTTTTCAAATTTATAGAAATCATATCAGTGGAGGATTTTAAAGGTGATGAACCCACTAGTACTACGACTACAGTACAACCAAGTGCTCCTTCTACTACTGCTGAGAAAAAAACAAACGAAACAATTGTGGATCTGACAATAAGTGATTCTGAAGAGGATGCTCCACCAAAAAAGGATAAAGAGCCTTCTGCAGCTCAGCCAGCTTCACATCAACTACCTCCAGCTAGTAGTACTAGCAGCGCAGATCCTGTGGTCTCTAATAGAAGTACAAGATATGGTAAAAATTGTCCCTGAATGATTAATCCTGGCCAGAAATGATTATTTTTATAATTCTTTTCCATGTATAACAAGAGTGGATTATTTTATATTTTAATATCAAGCAAGATTGATATATATTATTTGTTTTTCTAATATACATGTAAAAGTTATTTACATGTAAGTAATTATAACCAAATAGTATAATTTCAAAATTGATTCTAATATTTTGTACCTGTAGTTTCAATTATTATGTTGTTTGTTGATTCAAGAAAAACAAAGAACGTTACTAATTAACCCTTAATTAATGTACTTTTTTTTTTCCTAAAGGTACTAGATTAAACTCTGCCAACCTTACTTCATCAGTAACAAGTTCATTGACGAGCAGTGGTTATAGCAGTTTTGCTTCAAATCCTGCTCACAGTACACCAGTTGATCGTGATCAAGCAAGTTTGTATCAAGTATATCCTAGTTCTAATACTACTTTGGCACACCAAGGCAGCTATGTGAATACTGTGCCTTTAAATTTAGCAGGATTTGATCCAAGTGTCACGAATAATTAAAACTAAACCGCTATTGTGAATGAAATATTTTTTTATATAAAATTATATTTAAATGTATATTTTCTAAAGATTATTTGTTTCTTTAATTTTGAGTATTGTTTTTTAATGATCATATCGCTTGATGATTGATTCGATAGTTGATTATATATAGTTAAGGTAGAAAATTATTTATTTTAATAAATATGATATATCTATAAATGAGTTTAAATATAAGTTAAAACTATTCAAACTTAATTTTGAATATGCAGAAATTTGCAAATTCTTATCATAAATATGTATACTGAAGTTGCAAATTTGTGCATTTGCAAGCACTGACATAGCATTTATAATTATTATAATAGTTTTAATTATCTTTAAGAAATATAGTTTTGACATCTAAGCACTTTATGAGCGTATTTTGTAAATTATGTAAATATACTCAAATTTATAAAAAAAACAATGTATTATTTTTTTTATATAACTTCAGTTAACATATTGATTTCATTTTTAAGTCACGATAAAATCATTTCATTAATTGAGGAATGTTACCCCGTGTGGGAGATATATTTACCATTTTGTAGGAAAGTCACACAGATCCATGTTGCGGGAGCCAGAGTATCAAATTCTGACCCCAATTTAATGTGCAATGCCTTAAATATAGGCATGGAGACCTGATGAACTGGTTAGCGTGCTTAAATTTAGATTTGCAACTGAAAGCTAATGTTACTTTTGAATAAAGTTTTGCAAAATTTTATACATTGTTTAAAAGCTGAAAACACTATAATTCCAATAAAAATAGAATGTGTTAGTAATTTACATTAAATACTTGATTTTTATTACATTTATTATTATATATATTATTATTATAGTCATTTTTGCTATGTATGATTTTTATTTGAAAAATCTATTCAAAATGTAAATCAACAACTTATTTTTAATATTTTAACCACTAAAGATCGCTATATTAGATTGGTATATCAAACTTTTCAAGAACACTTAAAGTAACGCAAAGTTTAAATACTAATGTCACAGATAAGGACTAATGTGAAACCGATTTTGTAGAGCAAAAGACGTTAAGAATGACAGACGATGTAAAGAACTAACACTATAATGCATTATTCAAATTATTAATTATTATATTATTACATTTTCTATTTAATTTTATTTCAAATAACCAAAACTGCAAAAAATTGAGTCGGTTGAAAAATGGTTGAAAAGTACTGACATTTGGTATGACAAACTTTACAGAGATCTGTGAAACTGTCAGCTGTAATAACGGGCGTTACACTCTTTTTTATCTATGGCGTTCAGAAAAGATAGTTAAAGAATCCTACACTTAGACGTGAGGGCGCTGCGTTTGGCATTCCAATTAATGGCGCAAAATTTGAAATAAAAATTAATGAAATTTAGTAATCGGGTACTTGAAACTAAATTTGGCATTACAATCATATTATGTCATCGCTACTGTCCACATCCACGTGTCTAATATGTGTCTAATTAACCAATTAACCCTTTTGAACGCGGATTTTGTTGTGAGGCCCTGATAGTAGCTCTATCCAACAAGAGTAGTTAAATTCAGAACATACACGCATCCACGCATCATTTGATCTTTGTTCTGATCTCGCTCTGACACAATTTAAGCAATCTACCACGCTGTTTTACCTGTCATTACCTTTACGATTTATCATTTTGGGAACACGTCCAAAGTATTTTATTTTATTTATTTTAATTGCAAAGGTTAATATATGTGTTGATATCTGTTATAATTAAGAATTATCGTCAAAATCAAATAATGTCAAGAAAAAAGAATAGTAAAAATATTAAAGAATTAGAAGATGAAATTCCATCTAATGCAGATGTTAAAATAACCTCTAAAACTTCCACGGCTAAATCGAAAAAATCGAAAGGTAAATCAAAAAAAGACAGTGGTTGGGGTGACAGTGATGAAGAAATATCCCATAAAAAGATCACTGAAAAATCAAAACCAGAGGAAGAAGCGTCTGTTGATAAATCAAAAACAAGTGGTAACAAAGCCCCCAATAAATCTAAAAAGAATAAGAAATCCAAAAAAAATGACGATTGGTCTGATGACGAAGCTGAACAAGAATTTAAGTTGCCATCAGATGATGAGGCACCCGTGATTGCTAAACCAGTACTTAAGAAAAAAGGTAAATTAATTAGCATTGGTTGTTTAAAACATGCATATTATATGGAAATATTATTTTGCTACTTGTATTATAGGAAAAAATAAGAAAATTGAAGATGATTTATCAGATCCAAAAGAAGATTCTGAAGATTTATCGGACATTGATGAACAATTGCCCACAGATTTGGCAGGTGATAATATTTCAAGTTTAAACACTGTTATTAGCAATATGTTTCTACATTACTACTGACTCACGACTTCATCACAATCAAAGACATTAGATTAGTTTGACATAGTTTTTCTGGATTATGAGAAATTATGCGTGTATTATGCATTATGCATTATACACGTAACCCTGTATCACACGGTTCTTACGTTTCAAAAACTAGCGTGTTATGCAAAATCTGTTATACAGGATAAAGAACTAGTACAAAAATAGGGGTTACGTTTCCACGTGATTACTTGTTTTTAGCAAAATGATATTTATATTTTTTACACATGCAAATATATCTTTATCAAACTTTTGTACTCATTTAATTTAAAGGATCTTTGAAGAAATTATAGTTTGGAATATCCTAGAATTTTTTTTCAATAGAGCGTACGCACTCGAATAATAAATATCAAATTAATATCTTTTGCACTAGTTTTATCATATTTATTGAGCTATATTGTACTGCGATTTAACTAATTTTAGATTAGATAAAGTTTGATTTTCATAGGTTTTACTATATTTCATATTTTATTAGGGTTTTGCTCAATTTTCATACTGTGTTATAGCAAACCCTTTAAGTGCTTTAAAAGTACCGTGTTATGAGGGGGATGGTCTCAGTTTCTAAACCTTGTTAGAGGGAATCCGTGTTATATTGTATTATGCGGTAATGAGTATTGTATTTGCATGGTAATGAGTTGAATGTTCTGAGTAAATGTGCTGAAATATTATACTCTTTTAGCTAATATTAAATATAAAAAATAATAGTCTTATAATTATTAATAATTCATTAATTTTCTTCTATAAATATTGATAGCAAATGAATAATAAGGAGCATTCATTAATATTAAACCTGTTTTCAAGTTCAATTCCTCTCAGTGACTTATAATCTCAACTTTTTTAATTTTGATGTTGAGATATGTGTAAAATATCTTCAAGTTACATCAAATAAAAATCAAAGAATCCTAAAAAAATGTATTGCCACATATTTCAACTTTTATCCTTGGTGAATCTATAATTTGAAGAAAAAAAATGAATAGTATATAACTAACAATATGTGTAATGTGTATAATGCATATAGATATCACTTAAAATGGATAAATTAAGGTTAATATATAGTGAATATAATATAGATAATTTTTTTTTAATTATACGCTCATACTCAAATTAGATAAACCGAATGAAGCAGAGACTTGCATAAACAAGCCTGAGGGTGAAGTCAAGTCCAGCAAAAACACAGAAGAACATAATGAAAAACAAGAAAAAACAATGAGCAAGGTTGATGATGCCCGAGATATATCACAACAGGTACATACATATGAAAAATTTATATAGTAAAAATCATCTAGTGGTATCCAAACTTTGAGGCACCCCCTCAGGGACGTGCAAGGTTATTTTTGAAAATAAACAAAAAAATATGAAATGATATAAAAAAATGAATGAATAAATAATTATTTTTTATGTTTTTAGTTTGTATATAATATTGCACATTAATTTGTAGTCTGGTCATTAAATTATAATACCAGTTGAGTTTTTATGAAATTAAGTTGTTAAAAAAAATAAAGAGGGTGCAACTACTTTTTTTGAAGAACAGTGCGTATGAAAAGGTTGGAATCCACTAGTGTCTTAATGTTGTGCAACAAAATGTAATATTAGCATTAATTGATTGTTGTGCTAAGCATTTTAGTAATTGAACTAATATGCTTTTTATAAGTTTAATATAAGCTCGACTAGTTCTGCTCTTATTTATGAAAATTGAATGATAAGTGATACATTTAGAATTTCAGTATTCAATCTAATATATCTTTTATACTCATGAATGAGTCACAATGCTCAAAACTTTTATGCTAAAATGTATGTAAATCATTTCAATAATATAATAAAGAATAGAATACATTTAAATGAAAAAACCAAAACAATTTTAAGTGTTAAACCTCAATCGTTCCTATTTATTTAATTTTCATTAAAAATTTCAGTTTTCAAATATTTTATGAAATTATAATGAAAACTAACCTATTTGTAACTATTTTGTGCTTGATATAACATATTTCTCTATATTTTGATTCAACCTGGCGTAATAAGTATTTATCATGCATGTTTTTGTTTGCATATATATTTGTATTCTTTCCAGATTTCTGAGCTCACAATGTCTGATACAAAAGTGAATAAACTGTCTGATAATGAAGAAATTGCAAACGATGAGACAAGTTCTTCTAAAAAACTTACCCACAAAGAAAAGAAAAAGTTGAAAAAGAAACAGGAATATGAAAAGCAAATGGAATCTCTCACTAAGAAGGGTGGACAAGGCCATAGTACCTTAGATAGCAACTTTACTGTTTCACAGGTAACTTTTTTTTGTTATTCTGTCATTATGTTTCAAGTTTGTGTTGAATATTCTTTTATACATTTTGGCTATAAGTATATTTATAGCAGGGTATTTGAATTATGTGGAAAAAAATATTCATTTACTTATGTGGAAAGTATTATTGTATGAACTCAATATCATTTTAAATGCATTTATTTATATAGTAATTAAAGTAAAAAAGAATTTGACAACTTTGCGCACTGAATTTTTTAATTTAATGTAGCAATTTTGAAGCAGCTTTGAGACCATCTTTATTAATGAGCAATGGTTTTCTGAGGGTTTCTACAAAAAGTTGGAAAATATATATATATTTGTTATTCTTCTTGACATAGGTAGAGAAATCTGTTGGTCAAAAACTTGCAATGGAAAATGCTGTAGATATTAAAATTGAAAATTTCTCAATATCAGCAAAAGGAAATGATTTGTTTGTTAATGCCAATTTATTGATTGCAAATGGTAGAAGATATGGTCTAGTTGGTCCTAATGGGTGAGTTTCTATAATTTGATATTAAACTTTTGATTCTAGAATTTATGTAAATGATTATTTTGTGCAAATTCTTATGCAAAATATAGTGGTACCTCATCATAAAAGTTTAATTCATTACGTAACCAGTTTCGAATTGCTTGTAACTCATGAATACAATTAAATGCCATTAATTTGTTAATTAAGTTTATTGAAATTAAGTTTTTGTTGATTAATCTATTTATTGTTTTGTTCTATTAATTATGCTACTTCAGAAATTAGACATGTTTTGTTTACTCTCATGCTTAAACTGTTTTTATCCACAAACTTTAAGAATTCAGAAACCTGTTTATAAATTATTGTAAGGCCTTTAGTTGAAGTTATACCCTTTATCAACTCCTTGTGCTTAAACACGGTATATATCTATGGTGAGTTATGTTTTAATTTAAGAGATAAGGCCTTTTCTTTAGATCCTTGGTTATAAAAGTACATAATATTTTGTAAATGTATAAAAAGCAAAAAATGCGAACTCAACATATATAACTGTATAATCACTATTAATATATACTTAAAATTTTAAATGTTAAATTTATCCTGAATATAATTGGGCAAATTGTTACTACACACTTAATATTAATATATAGTTAATAAAACAATTAAAAACTATAAAATAATTTACTATTATAAAATCACCCAAAATATTTTCATAGTAAAAAGATCATTGTTACAAATGTTAAAAATTTTTTATATTTATATTTTTCCATTAACATTTTTCTAGAAAACTCTTGCTCGCTCAAAGCTTGTATCTCAAATTTTTTGTAATGGTCAAATTCCTGATCAAAGATGAACTGTCATTTTTTTGTGAATTGATAACAAAAAGTTTGCACATATGCTTGCATGCATACGCACACCTTTTTTTTTCAAAGTTATGCTTACAAGTTTTCGGATCGCGAATATTTCGGTGTATGTTCTTAACCATTTATTTAAATTTATTATTCTTATTTCAACAGTCACGGTAAGACGACATTATTGCGCCATATAGCTGAGAGGGCCTTTGCAATCCCGCCTAATATCGATGTTTTATATTGCGAGCAGGAGGTTGTGGCTGATGATAAAACTGCAGTCGAGAGTGTTTTGCTTGCTGATGTTAAACGGACATCATTATTAAATGAATGCCGTGAACTAGAAAAACGGACGGAGGCTGGAGATCTTGAAGCACAGGGCCGTTTAAATGAGGTTTGTAATATTTATTCTTGAGTTTTTTTTTAAATCGACCAAATGGAAACTATAAATACATGTTTTATTATAGTTTATGTTTTGCATAGTATGTACACAGAAACATAAAAGTAATAAACATTAGTTTGTAATTAAACAATGAATACAAATCTTGAAATATAAACAAAATTAAACAATATAGACACAACACCCAATACAAACTAAAATGAATGGTTATAGTTGTCTTTAGCTAACAAATTCGAATTCTGTATCCAGAATAATTAATTTATCTTTGTCAATTACATATTTAGTTGTAAAATAAATACTACAAGTAATAGTTACTAATATTTTTTTGTATTAAGGTTTATGAAGAACTCAAAGCGATAGGAGCCGATTCAGCTGAACCTCGCGCACGAAGGATTCTTGCTGGTTTAGGATTTTCGAGAGAAATGCAGGATCGAGCAACTAAAAATTTCTCAGGAGGTAATGATATAAATACAAATTTCCATTGACTATAAGAACATCAAAAGTTTATGTAGTTAAAAGATTTTATTATATAAGATATTGACCTAGTCTTATAAGAATATTATTTTGCAGTCATTTGAATCATTAGCAATTTATCTGCCTAAATAAACTTTTTTTTTTTGAAAGCCAGGAAATTTTTGCTTTTATTTCTGAGAGGCCAAGCTTTTGAAGCAAAAATCCAAATGTGATTTCTTGAAAAATTACGACGTGCATATACCAAAAAGCATTCACTTTCAAAAATGATTATATTATAAAAAAAATATATCTTGACTTAATAGTAACCCAAACTATTAATTGGTCTTAAGTTTTATCAATCCTTTAATCAAAAAGTCTTAATAAAATGTTTTTGTTAAATTTATTCCATCATTTCTGTAGATAGAATAATTGAAGTATTAGTGCATGCACATTGGTATCAAAGTATGATTTATGCATTTTTTTTTTAATTTACTTCCAGGCTGGAGAATGCGTGTTTCATTGGCAAGAGCTTTATATTTGGAGCCCACTTTGCTTTTACTAGATGAACCTACAAATCATTTGGATTTAAATGCTGTAATCTGGCTTGATAAGTAAGTGGTGCTAACATTTTTATATTCACTATATGCAACTTTAATGTTTAAATTTATAATTAGAATATTTTATTCAGTTATTTGCAGGGATGGAAGAAGACTTTGTTAGTCGTTTCTCATGACCAATCTTTCCTTGATAATGTCTGCAATGAGATCATACACCTCGATCAACAAAAACTGTTTTATTATAAGGTCAGTATGATCAACAAATGTTAATTTAATTTAAATATAGATAAAATACAGTAAATTCAATAGAAAATTTAGTTTTAAGATATCAAAATTAAACATGAGGTATTCCTTTAAGTGTATATTTATCTTATTGTCTCATTTTGGTTTTATTTTCAAATCGTAATTTTTGACTGTCTCTCTTTAGAGTTTTTTCTTCATATTAAAAACTGATTTTTGTTTTTTTTTAATTGAAATTATCATATGCAGAAGATGGTATAAATTTGGAAAGAATTAATGGACAAAATGTTATAAAACATGATTAATAAATAAAATCAATTAAATCCTTAATATCTTGTTTATACAGGTATTTTAATGATTTTATTTTATTTATTTTATTTTTTTTTGATAGGGAAATTACTCAATGTTCAAGAAAATGCATGCTCAGAAGCGTAAAGAAATGATCAAAGAATATGAAAAACAAGAAAAACGCATAAAGGAGCTGAAATCACATGGTTCTTCTAAAAAGCAGGCAGTAAGTATTAATATTATATGAACTCACCCACTTTTATAATTTATTTTAATTTATGAATTTATTTTTTATTAGGAAAAGAAGCAAAAAGAAGTCCTAACACGTAAACAGGAAAAGAATAGAAGTAAAATACAAAAAGCAGAAGAAGACAATGGACCTACTGAACTACTTGCTCGACCAAAAGAATATATTGTCAAATTTAGTTTTCCGGATCCTCCTCCTCTTCAACCACCCATTTTAGGACTCTACAGTAAGTTGCAAGATTTTTTAATTATGTTTATTGTGATTATTTTAAATCTACAGTTTTTTTCTGCATACTAATTACTTACTTCACTATTAATAGTGTTAATATTATACTTTAAAAATCAAAACTGAATTTTTTTTAAATAATAAATATTTAACTTTTTTTCATATGACATTAAACATATATTCTAATAAGACGTTTTCAATTAACAAATTCTGTTCCAATTATTTAACATTTATTAATCTTTTTTTAGGCAATTTTATTATTATTACTAATCAAATCAAATGTTTTTACTTACTAGATGTAGATTTTGGATATGAGGGGCAAAAACCTTTATTTGTTGGTGCAGATTTTGGAATAGATTTATCGAGTCGAGTGGCGATTGTTGGGCCCAATGGTGTAGGCAAATCCACATTCTTGAAGTTATTGACTGGTGACATTACACCAATCAGAGGAGAAGTAAAACGCAACCATAGACTGGTATGAATAATTGATAATAATAGAAATTAATAGTCAATTATAATTATTATGGTTTTCCATGGGGAGCAGGTAAAATAACTTTTATTTTTTCAGGTAATGGGGAACATTATTATAACTATTTTTTTATAACTACTATACAATTCTGCATTATCCATAGTTTTCTTATACATAAATAGTTTAGTTTTCTTATATATAAATACTAACTGTAATATATTTGCAATTTTTTGATATTATTAATTTTATAATGATAAAATTTTCATTAAAATGTAAAATTAATGCAATTTCAGCCAATTCAAAAACATCGCACAGAAAACACAAAAAAGAATTGTTATTTTGCCTATTTCCCATGGAAAACCATAATAATTATAATTTGTGACATTCTATGTGTTACGTACATATGTGTAGATAAATTCCTTGCGGAGATATCTTCTTTAATATATTTTTAAAACTCTATTTAATATAATTGTATTGAAAACTGTATACTGATATATATTTTTTTGATTAATTATTTCTTTCATGATAACTATATGAAATAACATACGGCGAATAAAAATAACTAGCTGTAAGTGGAATTCTGTCTTAAGGCAATTAAGGCATCGTGCCTTAAGGCAAATTGCTGGAACTTCCCGTACCAAAAATTATTACTTTTTAAAAACGATTAACATTTTTGAAAATTTTTTTTTGAAAAAATTAGATTTTTGAGAAACTATAAATTGGACAAAAAATTACTTTTTTTTTGAAAACAAAATTTTTTCTTTATTTTGACATATTGTGGAAGATCTGAACTAATCGTACTGCTTTAACTGCATAGGGACAAAATATAAATCGCGTAAGCGCCGCGTCGCTGTCTAACGCTTAAGCATTGGTACGGAACCCATAAGAATGTTAACAAAATGTATACTTATTGTTAAAATCTCTATAAAATATCTGATAATTTGATGTGCATATGTCTAATGATCATTTTTGACCGCCAAATGGCTCATTTTTTTACATATCTCCGAAACCGCTAGACCTACCTTCATGAAAATTTTATCGATTCTTCATCTTGTCAATACAAGTAAAATGTTTTCTGAATTATTCAAATCGGACGCTCCGTTCTCTTAAAAACTGAGTTACCGTTTTCGGCACTTTTTGCACCGTATCTTCGGAATGGCTAGACCTGCCTTCGCCAAAAACTAATCAGCACGTCTCCTTATCAATACGAATCGAATGTTTTTTGAATTATTCAAATCGGTTGATCCGTGTTCCCGAAATCGTCGACGAAAATTTGTATCCGCACATACATGCACACACGTACATACATACATACATACATACACACACACATACACACATAAATCCATTTTTTTCTAAGGTATGCCAAAATGTTCAGAAACCTCTGAAACGTAAGATATATAAAATTTTCATTTTTGATTTTTTTGCGATTACTATAACTTGCCCTACGGGAAGTTATCAATAATAATCATTATTGTTTTTTTTTTTATTCGTCGTGTTGAATTTTCAATTATGACTAATGAATATATTTATATACAAGATATACACGATTTTTGGTTTTAAATAAATATTTCC